GAGAGCCAGCATAAATTTTAAAGTGAAAGCGCATTTATCAGTGAAGTGCAAAAGAGTGGTCTACTCCACAGAGAGACTAGCCCCTTCCTAATGGTATTTACTTTTTTTATTGAGGCTCATTTAATCCAGGGTAGGGCATTCAACAAGGGTGATGAATATTTAGGATTTCTCAGAAGAGCTCGGTGGGCCATTTTGTGGCCTTTTATGGACTTTCTGTTTCTACACCGAGGCTAGGGGTCACGGTAAGGTGAAATTAGTTGCCATGTTGGATCTAGCTGGTCTCTGCAGGTTCTAAGCCATAAATCTGTTGGGGGTGATCTTACTATCTCCTTATTAGTCTCTGTAATCCTTATAGGATACAGCTATTTTACCATATACCCTAATCTGAATATATAATAATAAAAGTATAATATGCAAATTAGACCAGATGTCCTTCCAGATGACCTTCTTGATGAAGCCAGGACTGCAAGGGAAGCTAGGTCCTGGGTGCCAGAAGGAAGCTGGTGCCAGCAGCTGGGAGAAGGAAGGTCTGCTCTTGCATGAGTTTTGTGCATCAGGCCTCAAGTATTATAATAGAAGAAATACCTCCCTCTAATTTCCTATCCAAAGCTCATCCTCCTGCCTATACTCTGGATTCCACCTCCTCTGATCTGGGGAACTCAGTTTAATGATTATTCCTCTTGCTTTTTCCTATGTTTTCAACACTGACTCCTTCCTTTCATTCACTAAATGTACTCAAATCTCTCCTATCTCAAAAAAAGAACCAAATCCCTTGACCTTTCCTTCCAGTTAACACACTGTCATCTCTTATCATAACCAACTTGTTGCAATAGTCATTTGTATGTTTTCTCTTTTATCTCCCACTCACTTCTTAATCCAATCCAATTAATTCTAGCTTTCTCCCCCACCACACACACACACACACACACACACACACACACACTAAAACTATTTTCTGTAAGTTTATCAATAAGTTTTTAATGATATAGATTTATATTTAGTGATAAAAAAGAATGCTTTGATACAGTTTTTTGAGTGAAAAAATAGCTTACAAAATATATAGTATACATAATATAGTATAATCTATTCACTTTTTGGTGTATCGGCCTATGAATTTTAGATTCATGTAACTACTACCAGAATACAGAAAAGTTTGATCACTAGAAAAAACTTCTTCAAACTATCTCCCAACCCCCCAACACTTAAACTCTAATAACCATTGTCCATCATTATAGAGAATGTTATATAGATTGAATCATATAGTATGTGATTTTTTGACTGTCTTCTTTCATTCAGCCTAGTGCCTTTGAGTTTCACCTAAGTTGTGTGAACCAATAGTCCATCCCTTTGTATTGATGAGTAATATTATATTGTATAGATGTATCACTGTTTATTTATTCACTTATTGAAGAACATTTGAGTTGTTTCTTTTGGGGACCAATTAGAGCAGCCATTGGAATTAGCTTATAGATTTTTGTGTGAGCGTAAGTTTTTATTTCTCTAAGTACGTACACAGGTATGAAATTGCTGGGTTATATGGTAAATACATGTTTAACTTTATAAGGAACTGCCAAACTATTTTCCATACGGCCTTTGCCATTTTGCATGCCCATCAGCAAGGTATAAAATTTTCTGTTGTTCTAGATCACATGTGTCAAACACAAGGCCCTCGGGCCAAATCCGTCCCGCCAGGCCTTGCAATGTGGCCCGCACCACGCTGTCATCACTGCACTCCGCTGCGTTTCCATCACAATGACAGTTTATGACTGTTCAGTAAACCATTCGGCCCGCGATTTAGGCTGGATTTTAGATTTTGGCCCCTTCTCTGATTGAGTTCAACACCCCTATTCTAGATCCTCTCCAGCACTGAACACTGTTAGTATTTTTTATTTTAATGAATCTAAGAGGTTTATAGTGGCATCACATCACAATTTTAATATGCATTTATGTACTGGATAATAGGATTAGGAAAAATCTTATGTGATTATTTGCCATGTATATATTATCTTTGATAGTGTTTGTTCAAATCTTAAACCCATTTTAAAATTGACTTGTTCTCTTCTTACTGTTGAGTTTTGTGAGGTTCTTTAAGTTTTCTGATTGCAAGTTATTTGGTAGATATGTGATTTGTAGTTATTTTCCCCCAATATGTAGCTTTCTTTTTATTTTTTAAAAATTGAGTTTATTGGGGTGACATTGGTTAATAAAATTATATAGGTTTCTGGGATACAAGTTTATAATGCATTGTCTGTATATTGAATGTGTTCACTACCCCAAGTCAAATCTCCTTCATCACCATTTATTCCCCCCGACCCCCCATTTACACTCTTCTACCTCCTCCCACCCACATTGCCCTCTAGTAATTACTCTACTATTGCCTGTGTCTATGAGTTTTGTTTTTTGCTTAACCTTGACACCTTTTCATCCAGTCCCCCAAAACCCAAACCTTCTGACAGCTGCCAGTCAGTTCTATGTATCTATGAGTCTGTTTTTTTATTTTATTAGTTTATTTTGCTCATTAGATTCCAGATATTAGTGAAATTCATATGGTACTTGTCTTTCTCTGACTGGCTTAGTTCACTGAGAACAATACTCTCTATATTCATCCATACTGTCACAAAGGATAATATTTCCTTCTTTTTTTATAGCAAAGTAGCATTCCTTTGTGTACATGTACCACAGCCTCCCCCCCCCCCCCCCCCACACACACACACACTTAACTACTGATGGGCACTTAAGCTACTCCCAAATCTTGGCTATTGTAAGTAAGGCTGCAATGAATATAAGGGTGCATATATTCTTTCAATTAGTGCTTTAGGTTTCCTCAGATATATTCCCAGAAGTGGGATCACTGGGTCATAATGTAGTTTCACTTTTAATTCTTTGAGGTTACTCCATACTGCTTTCCACAGTGATTATACTAGTCTACATTCTCACCAAGAGTGCACAAGGGTTCCCTTTTCTCCACATTCTCAACTACACTTATTTGTTGATTTATTGATGATAATCATTCTGAAAGGTTTGAGGTGATATCTTATTATGGTTTTTATTTGCCTTTCTCTGATGACTAGTGAAGCTGAACAACTTTTCATATGTCTATTGGCCATTTGTATGTCCCCTTGGAAGAAGTGTCTATTCAGGTCCTTTGCCACTTTTAAATAGGATTGTTTATTTTTTTTTTTGGTGTTGAGTTTTATAAGTTCTTTATAAATTTTGGATATTAACCACTTATCAGCTGTATCATTGGAAAATATGTTCTTCCATTCAGTGGGTCTCTTTTCCTTTTGATGATGGTTTCTTTGCTGTGCAAAAACTTATTTAATGTAGTCCCTTGCACTTATTTTTTCTTTTGTTTCCCTGGACCAAGGAGATATATCAGAAAAAAAAATATTGCTATGATAAATGTTTTAGATTATTGCCTATATTTTCTTCTAAGATTTTTATGGTTTTGAGTCTAACATTTAAGTGTTTAATTCATTTTGAGTTTATTCTTGTGTATCTTATAAAGAAGGTGGTCTAGTTTCTTTTTTCTTTTTTTTTTTTTTTTTTTTTTGCATGTATCTGTTCAATTTTCCCAACACCAGACTAACTTTAGCCCATTGTATACTCTTGCTTCCTTTGTCACATTAATTGACCATTAAGGCATGGCTTTATTTCTGGGCTTTTTATTCTGTCCTATCTAGTACATGCACAAGGCCTTCTTTTACCAGTGCTGGGCAGCAAAAGTACAAAGGCACTCTGAGATCCACCTCCATTTGCCTCTGCCTGAGGACTGCCTTTTAGGTTAAGTCACTGAAAGAGCCTCTGATCGTACTTGTGTTGCATGAGGTAGGTTCACAGTGAGTCACCAAGTAGGAGCAAGTGGTATTCACCAGATTGATTCAGTTTCAAATTAAACACCAGTGCTGGGTCTGAGGCCATTCAGAAAATATCCTGAGGTATACGTAGTCTAGCTGCTACTCAACTGGGTGCTTGCACATTTTAGAGTTGGGGCAGTGTCTCAGGAAGTCAACAGAGTGAGGCCAGAGAGTTTATCAGGCCCAAACAGACCGATGTTTGACCTTGCGAAGAGAGAGCTGTGCTTCAGTCAGTCATGCAAGAGAAAAGTTATCCCTGCCCTGGAGTTACACAAGTCAGTCCACCCCAGATTCTGCTGAGAGAGTAATTTTCTATGAACAATATTTGGACAGCTTCTTGTTGCCATAGGGCATATCAGGGGGTATCTACGGTTGCTAGGTACTATGTTAGGAGCATTAATATGTGTGATCTGCTCACCCTGGTTATTAATTTATGTAAAAGATCTAATGTTTGTTTTTTCTAATTGATATTTGAACTAGTGATAATCTTTTGTCTAACATGTATGTTTTCTCTTTCCTTCTGTGGTCAGAGACAAGTAAAAGAAAGAATTATTCAATTCAATGAATATTTACCTAACAGAAGAAATAAGAGTGAATGTATTACTTTATCTGGATGGCCATGTTACTCTCACTAAGAAGGAAAGGATGGATATTGTTGCATAACTAGATGTTGCTACCACAATGAGTATACTCATATTCCTATCAGTGAGCTTAAAATACCCTAGAAATATTCATATATACTCATGAGTATTCAAAGGAGGAAAGCTTTAATATGATATAAATTATTGTCATTTGAGGAACAGATAGGAAGGACATCCTGGAATAGAAGTAGGACGGGGTTTAGGAACTGTGAGTTTAAATAAAGGAAGAAATTCCTGGCTAAAAGAGGTATTAAAATATCTGATAAATAGGACTTTTTCAAACTACTATTACTTCTGCCCACCCAGAGTTTCTGAGATGCCTCCATACCACGAAGTGTGTTCTATTTGTTGGGGATAATGAAGCAGTGGAAAAAGGAGACTAGTCTAAATCCTTCACAAATCTTAAAGCTGCTTAGAACAAGCAACTCTCCATATCAGATCTTTCTACTGATCTTATTGAATAAGGTCTTTGAATTTTGTTTCTGTTTCGTCCTCCTTTCAGGGTGCTTTTCAGGAAACAATGATCACATTTTGGCAATTCATCATAAGAGGACTGGGAAGCCAGCATTCCTTTATCACCATTCACAAGACATTGAGAAGAGCCTGGACATAGCTCCACAAAAGATATATAAACATTCTTCTTCTGAAACTCAAGTAAACAGAAACCACCAAATTGTCGATTCAGCATTTCTTAGGCCTGCGTATGATCCATCTCTCAATCTGTTGGCCGTGGCTGGTCAAGATCCTGAAGTTGAAAACCTTCCAATCCCTGCAGCAAATGTAATCGTGGTGGTAAGTATTGTACTTAACTGATGTTTATGCTGGTGCTTTTCTCTGTGGTTGATGTTGAAAAAAAAAAAAAAAAAAGAAGAAGAAAACTAATGATAAATAAGTTATCTTTGGATCACACTGACTTCTTTTTTTAACCACAACATTTCTCATTCTCTAATATTTCTTTTTTGTTACTTTATAATTGTTTCTTGGCTTCCTCTTGACTATGATGAGCCCAAGGAATAAGAAGCTTTGTCTGCATCCTCTGTGCATAGCACAGTGCATGGTGCATAGTAGGTGCTTAACAAATATTTGAGTTAAAAATTGCTTTAGGTCTTACAAGTAGAGCAGATCACATCCTACACTGAGTCTCCTGCCTTCTGTGATAATCTCTTCTAAGCAGATATGCCTTAATCTCTTTATACAGGTAAGCAATACTTATTGAAAGTCTCTGGTCACTTCACTCACATTGTAAAAATGAAGAGTCCACTGAAAGGGAAGAAGAATCATAGGTGGAGGGTGGTTTTTTGTCACTGGAGTCAATAAGATGGTTCAGGAGTAGTTGATGGATAATATTCCTAACATCACTGTACAAACATTGCTCTTTATTAGTCAAGATGGTGCAATGGTCCCATTGCTTATATTCTTAGGGTATGCAACCCAGGCATGAGGTTCTCAATTTGTGGAGGTATCATGGTTGAAATACATACTGAAGTTGATACACTATTTAGATGATAATCCCTCTCAAGTTTAAAATTACTATAGGAGGCTCCACATTAAAACTATAGATCAGTAGCTAAATGATTGGTGTTGCATATATTGATATGCAATATAAATATGTTGATTATATTTTGGGGCAGATAATTCAATGAAGCCATGTTTGCATTTTGGTAACCTTTCTCTGCACAAAATATAATGAAAGTTAACAAGCTTTTCTTAATTTTTTTAATCTGCTATATATAGGACACCTTACCTAGTATTAAGAATGAAAGACCCGTTTATTGATGTATTCAACTAGCATACATTGAATATTTATTATATTCCAGTCTTTACTTGGGGTATCTAGAAAGAGAGACAATTAATTTGGAGTCTCTGATTTTACTTGAGAAATGCCTGGGGGAGGGGGGGTGTTAGTAATTCAATAAAAATCATAAGTTGAGGACACAAGATGAGCTCTTGTTAAGAGAAAAATCTGTGAGTCATTTGCCTCTTAAAATACTTGAACAAATTTTTGCTTTTACATGAGTAACACATGTTCTGAAGGTGAAATCCATGTATTCAGTAAAGATAAATGATGTTAATGATGTCGCTGTATTTGGATATGCCTGTGATAATGCTGGGGCTCATGGGAAATAGTTTCTCTAATAGCCATCATATAACCATAGTTATGAACTCTTAAGGTCACTGTGAATTACAGTTCAGGAGGTTTGTTCTATCTTGTAATGTCATGTACTGTCTAGTTAACTTAATATCATGCAGGATAAAATGCATCAATGAGGAATTCTGGCATGTAATTTCACTTTTAGTTTATTTGTGGTTTGGAAATTCATGAAAAAGATACAATAGGCTATTTCACTGCATTTTCCTTCCCAACTACTCTTAACCTATTTCTAACCATTTTGTGGCTTTGATAGTTTGCAACAATTGCTAGTGCTAATGTTTCCTATAATCCACTTACATTGCTTATGCAATTTGTGGAGCTCTCATGATTTAAATATATACTGAAGTTGTATTTTAGTAGAAAAACCTGGGAAGTGTAATTATTATAAAATAAATCAATAATGTTCAGCTTACTAAAAAACAGAGTCAACATTCAAACAAGTATTGGCTGGTTTGAAGGTTCAACTATCCAGAAAAGAAATTTAGGAATGGAGTGTAGATGATGAAAGGGAGATATTCTGGTGATTAAAATGACCTTGATGGAATAAATGATATGCTTTTGTGTGGCCAGGCTATGCATGTGTGTATATACATATACATATACATATACATATACGTATACATACATATATATACATATACATATACACATATATATGTATGTGTGTGTGTGTGTGTATACACACACACACACATACATATACATACACACACACATACACACACAACAGAGGCTATTTTGCTTGAGGAATATTGCAGTGGTACCAAAGAATTATTTATTGGATTCATTTTATTCCAAGTGAGCTATGTTAATAGGTATTGTTTTCTGAATTAGGTAAATTATTTTTGTGTTTTTTTCCTTGCTAGAGTGAAAAGTCATTTCCTACCTCCAAAATGTTTATGTAATTTTTAAGATTTCCTAGCTCAGACGGAGAGATAATTTTACTCCTCCTCTTATATTTCTTTCTCTCTCTCACTTCTGACATCACTAAGACATTGGGTTTAAAATGAGATATATAACCAGGACAGGGAAGATGAATGTGTCCCTCTTCCTTTACTGATTCTTAATTGCTTTCTCAAAGCATTTCATAAGAGCATTTGTCCACAAATGAATTTTTTTCTTTTTCTTCTTTGTTTTATAATCAGTAAAATCCATAGGTTGTTTACTCCAAGGAGAGAACAGCACGATTAAAATGTTTATCCTAAAGAATGCTAATTATGTTCCAGAAGCTTAATTAAGAAACTGTTCATGGGATTTTTGTACAAATTCAATATAGAGGAAATGTGAACGTCTTTAAGGTCAGTGCTATGGTAAAAGTCAAAATAACAACAATGGATTTAACCAAATGTGCGCTGGAAATTCCATTGCTCTTACCCCTAAATTCCCAAGACATTCATCAGGGCACAATATTCTGAGGGACGCAATATTCGGAGGGAGGGAACTCAGGAGTGTCAGTGAAAATGGTAGAGTGGAAGCAACTACAGGTGTTTCCAGTTCAGCAAGTTCTGCATAGATTGCTAAATGAAGACTATTGTATTCTGGGGAAATCTGAGAAAACTGGATTAGGAAGACTTTGAAATATAAAAAGTAGAATATAAATGATTTACACCTTAAGATGGAATTGAGGAAAGGAATAAAGAAAAGGAAGAAGAAGAAGAAGAAGGTGAAGAAGAAGAAGAAGAAGAAGAAGAAGAAGAAGAAGAAGAAGAAGAAGAAGAAGAAGAAGAAGAAGGTATAAGAGAAAGAGGAAGAGAAAGAGAAAAAAGGAATGAAAGGGGAAAAGGAGGGAGGAAAAAAGGAAGGAAGGAAGGAAGGAAGGAAGGAAGGAAGGAAGGAAGGAAGGAAGGAAGGAAGGAAGGAAAAGAGAAGAGAGATGATACAGTGTTAGTTCCTATGACAATGGAAAGACTTCTGTGAGCATGAAAGAATATGATGGGGATCCCATTCCTAGGAGGTTGGGATGGTCTCTGTGAGATTCCTTTAATCCAAAAGCTTCTTGTCTTGCTCACTCACCGAGATCAGTGCACAGACAGACATTCTCTTGTGTTTAGGCACAGAACATAATTTTGCAAATATTTTTCAGGTAGTTTCTTTTGAAGATTATTAAAGCCAAAAACTTTGGCTAACTCTGATTTTCATTTACATCCTGAACTCTGTTAGGTACATCTTGAACTTCAGCTTGGTTCTGCTGCTGACCAATTTTGACTTTTATCTTACAGAAGAAGAGATAATTCCTAGATGTGATTTGAAAGAATTTAGAAGTCCAGTTTTGTCATTGCCTTGCACCACAATAAATAAATTTTGTATCATCTTGCAAATTATATGGAATATATAAATAATTGTTGGACCTTTTTTTGAATAGGAAAATTGCCTTAATTACAATTTTGTGTTTGTGTAGTGAATATGCCAAAGGGTGAGTTTAATCTATGTAGCTATCACTAGAATTCTGCTATGTCAGGAAAGGCTTATAGTTTAGGATTATTTTTTTCACAAGTGACAAGAAATCTAATCCAAATTAGAGAAAATTTTGAGGTTCAAGTACCAACATTTCTGTAGTAGAGCTAGCTTTAAGTATGATTTGATCAAGGGCTCAAATAATCAATAAGGATTAATCTCCAAGTTTTATTTCCTCTGGGATCACTTCACTCTCAGACTGGTTCTGTCCTCAATTTGCTTTCTTAAAATTCCTAGGGTTTCATCCTTGCAGGTTTCTATTCTATGAAGAAAATGAACTCTTCCACAACTCTCAATAATATACTGGGCACTTCTATCACTTGACCAATCTAAGTACTCACTTCATCCTAGAATAATTTGTGACCAAGTGATAAAAGTAGACTGATTATCTCAAGCCTAAGCCACATGCCCCATCCCTAAAGCATCTTTAAACACCCCATAAGTTACATAGGAGATGAAATGACCTGAAGAAATATTGTGACACTATTAGCAAGCAAAGGAAGAACAGAAGCCAGATAGCAGCTAAACTTAAGCTAAAGCAGCGTATCTACACTTCAATTTTTGCTAAGCCCCTTCAAAAAAAAAAAAAAAAAAATGAGGATGTGAGGACATCAACTTAGCCTCAAGAATTTGATTCTTATACAAAATGAGTGACAAGTCATATTATAAATTCTCCAATAATGACAATAGGTAGCAAACTCATTCTAACATAGAAGAAAAGTAAGGTGCCTGTGACTAGACTGTTTGCCAATGAGAAGGGCCATAATTTTGTGCAATCTATTGGACTCAGGATATTATGTTGCTAGAATATCTCCAATTTGTGAAAAATACTGTAGCTTGTATACTTCATTATGATGACTGCTTACATGATGGAGAATTAGGAGGCTGTGTTGAGCTGCAGGGCAGCAGGTGCATAACTCACAGAAAGTGTGATTCAAATGCAGGCGTTAGAAAATGTTGAATTATTATGTGTCAAATATATTTGGAGTCATATAGTAAATACTAAATCCAAAATCCTAAATGGATGTAAGACACAGTCTCCTGTAATGTTTGGTGTGACTTGGTTGTCTTTCAATACAGTCTGGAACACTTATTCCAAGTTCCTAGAAGGAATGAGTATAATAGTCTAAGAGTGCCCTGGTGTGTGTTACTCAATGGTTAGAGCACTGACCCATGCACCAAAGGA